AAAAAATCTGAAACCATGAGAATGAAATGCTGAATTTATTTGTAGAGCAAAGAAGATGATTTATGACAAATGCTCACTCACATCGTAGCATATATTATAGGGTGCCAGCTTCACAGCATGACTGTCAATGAGCACAGGCGATAGAGGTGTGCACAGATGTACGGTGATCTCTTCGCATCGTTCGATCACAACTCGCGAAGCAATCACCGATACGGTACAATCGTTCAGGCCTCGCAGGAATACAGTATTCCGTACAGGACCCAACAAGATCGGTCCAGATCCACTGCAGTCTGCCACCACAACACTTTCCGAATGCTTGGGTGCGATCAGCCATGATGAGCGCTCATCACCATTCATTATTCGCAGATGGCCACCACTGAGTTCTTCTTGATTGAGCACCTAAATTGCCCTCATCTTTCCATACATTTTTGTCTACTGTTCCATTGATATCAACAAATTCACCATTTGATTACACTAGCATACATAAAACATTTAAAAACACAATTCCATTCTCACTGTCAGCATAACATCATTCCACAGCACAAACTTTCAGTAATAAAGCTGTTCCGCATTTTATTCTTTCTTTCTTCCGTACGTTGAGATGAATGTTTCGAATGCAGACAACGGGATAAGTGTTCTAGAAGAAACCTCATAATGAGTCCAGTGACTAATCGTAAATTTGCGATTCACTTGGGAGGTTGTATTCGAAAGAGATTTCTTTCGGCGGCGATTTCGCGACAATTTGCGTTCCGTTGGCTGAGATCCTTTCGTTGCACTATCCACTGAACGAACCGACCCATCAGTCTGTAGCGATCAATCTTTTGTTATCATAATCACTGGCTTCGTTCTCTTTCACTCATCCTTCATTGCCCCATTTTATTTCCAATTAACAAACTTGAAATACTGATTGTTTATACTATGAATTATGATTAAATAACAACATTCCTCTTTCTTTGAGCTGAGGTTGTATGAGAACTGATAAACCATTAAGCATTTATCAAGCACGTAAGAAGTGTGTGAGAATAACTCCATTTTATGCAACAATAAGAGAAGTTCCTAGTCGGTTTCAGTGAAAATGTGGTAAACGCGATACGCTGAGGTGGTCAAATTCGGTAGATAAACGTAACCGATTCAGGTGTCACGGCTTCTCTGAAAACTGAAAATCCACCATCACGGCGTTCAGTCACTATTTGTAGAATGGGACGGTCATGGATGACGAACGGCTCAACTTGAAGATGCCCACTGACGAACTGATATAAACGTATAAATGTGATCTGCAAACAACGCTCGCAAACTTCACATTTCAACACGTTTCGGCACATCTTCCGACCACTGGGCACAGTCTCACGATTGAATCTCATTGTGTAAAATTAACCAAACGTCCCTTATGGAAGAATACTCTCTTGAAAATGGCATATGTTGCTGACGCAGCACGAAACTTCACATGCATCTCTCACACAAAACTATATCGGTAATAAATACACTCGATTTTCATATCTCCTTCTATAGATATCTCTTTCCACCAAACAAAACCACCGAAATCTATAGCCCTGCCTTAACAGATTTCTCCAAAGAAATTCAGAAATTCCATTCTTCGAAAGAGAAATACAATAGGATTTCCATGAACATATCTGCTGAACTCATCACTGAATGGAGTATGAAATTAATTTTTTAAATCTATGCGAATTAATTCATTGACTCTATCGAATAACAACACATCAAAGGAAGAGTGTTAGCACCTTTTCATCAGGGCGCCAATGGCTTTTGACAATTTCGGAGAGTGAAGCAAGCTGAACACGATCGTCGTAGATCAGCGGTAGCGATTGATCGTGGTCGCCATCCTCGTTTGCTCTAACGCAGCCCTCGAAGATCATATCCAACGAACTGATGACACCTCGTGATAACTCTTTATCCTTTGCTATTACTACCGTGAGTGCTGCAGATCCGTACGTAGCAACTGCCATTGCAAGGATTTGTTCTGAAAATCATTTTCATATACCTCCGATGGCTAAAACAATCTGATTTATGTACATCACCACTGCAACGATGCGCTCTGAAGAATGTAACCATTCAACTCCACGAAGGATTGTGCTGTTGAAAGTGAAGACTGAAGTGAGATGGAATGAACGGGGATGTGCGATACGGTAATCGATGAAAGAGACGAAATTCCGAGGGTAGAGAACAGAACTGAGATGAAGTTCATAAATTCAAGTTTATACGCTAATTAAATTTGCACCAATTTGAGCCTCATTCCTATTTGAGACTTTAGGGCATTTCATCAACGATTCATTAACACCGACCATCCATCCAGTTGTTTTGCTGGTGCTTGAAATCAATTAATACACTAATGGAATAGCATTCAAAACATTTACGAGTTTTGATTCATTTATCGAAAACTTTAAATGTTTAACAGACGTGAATGAACGAACGCTTGTAATGAGTTCATTGCTAAGCAACTACATACATAAATTTATCATCCACAACCGATTAGCATACAAATAAATTTACTGAAATTCTCCTACTCAAATTCGCAGCTATAAACTTGTAATCGGCATCTGCTGCTGTTTTGACGTCGCATTGCTGAAATTTCGATTTGACATTCTGTGGCCTGCAAGTTCAATCAGTTTACTGAGCGTTTTCTTTGTGGCAATCACAAAGTGTATGTTCAAAACATGAGTACGTCCGAGTGCATGTAGGAATCTAAAAGCTTCAACACATCAGCTATGAACTCCGAAACGAGAATTCGATGAATTGTATGTTTACCACGTAGCATCCGTGTTCGAAGGGGATGTTTCCGTAAGCGATTGATATGCACCGCAACGACAAAGCGTAAAAACCATCACTAGGGCTAGCAAGGAAGCCTCCCTGCCACCATCGTTCAACTGAAATCGACCAGATATCTCGTGAACATGTAATAACTTCACATTCAGCACTTTGTTCGCTGCACATTAAGAATTATCATCAATGTAATAGCATTAGTGAAAGCAACACCATTAGTGTTGTGATATTAAAGAACCTGAGTGATGCTCCCGTTGTTTGGGGCAGTTGCTTCAACAAGTCGTGCCACATCGAATAATATTTCAGCCACTTCAGCGGTTACCCTTTCTTGTTCCAGTATGTTCACCCATTCAGTCCTCCTGAAATTCAACACTGTTGCGGANTCATTCAATTAATCGAAAACTTCACATAAAATATTATTCACTTTTGATAAAAAAATGTTTATTTTGCATTCGTTCTATTTTTACGATGCCATTCAAACGCTGCATCGTTTGATTCTTTTCGCTATGTTAACGCTAATCGCCAGTCGCATTAATTACGCGTTAGCTGACATTTGACAGAAATTTTCAGTGAATTCACCAAATTGAAGTGAAAATATTCTCATGTTAGCAGTCAACACAACAAAAAACGCGTAAAGACAACGGAATGCGAAACGAACTTCACATGTGAAGTGCCCTTCTGACGAAACTGATACTTTATGATACGACTCGCAGCGGCCAAAAAATCACAGTTGCTTTGCCGACTATTGGCCAGCGATGATAGATCAGCATTGTAGAATAGTAGAGGACGAGGCCATAAATAAGCTGACATTTTGTCTTTTATTGCTTCAATCTAAATTAATCTCATGTAGACTTCCATCCGTGTGCTCGTTAAGTGAATAATGCTGAACAACAATTCCTCACACAAATGCAGAACAAAATCCTGGAGACGGATTTAAGACTCCCTGCACTTATGTCCTCAGGGTTCTAAGAAGAAGATACTCGTGCAAGTAACTAAAGCTGATTCAATATTCACTTTCAGCTCGAAACTGAATTTTCGATGTTTGAAAAAATGTCAACTGCTAGGTACTATTATATTTATGCCAGAAATGGAAATTGTCGCTTGTTGGTTGGGATTTGCGAGGAATATGATTTACGGAATTAATTAAATACAGAGCAGTTCTCGACAGCAAACTACAGACTATGCAATAGCGCAATGCACTCTGAAAAGAAGCCGGATGAGTTACGAGAACGAATAAAAGTTCTTAAAAATTCAAGATTCTATTCATCATCGAACACTCAGTGTTTATCGAAAATCTCCAATCAACATTAGACCTCAGTGATCCATATCACATGCTGATAAAGGCGAGAAATCAGCAAGCAAATGTTGATCTCAGCGCTTAAATGCGCATCAAGAATTAATAGTTGCTGAGAATATTATGAATATTTTCTGCAAGAGACTTTCGCGCAAAATGTCCTCTTTATTTGATGCTATTCATGAGGGCATGAATACACTGCGAATAGATGCATATAGATCTGAAAGATTCGAATAAAACGAAAGCTTTAGCTATACAATATTCCCAGAGATAATTCACGAGCAAACTCTTTGAAAGTCAATTTTCAACGAACGAAATCTACAAGCAGATGCATAGAAATCGAGATCTTGAATCTGCTCAAGCACACTCGCCGCAGCAAAGCACTCAACTGAATTGAAGCATCACATTGAGATTGTGGTTGTCATAGAATATCGATCAAACAATCCATACTTAGATACCATCGTCAACAGGAAGCTTATTTATGAATTAGGCATCGAATGAAATTTATGTCAATGTTGCTCTGTTCGGAGTAAATCTTTTGCAAGTGGATATTTTCCTTAGAATTAGAAGNATACGAAGATTGGAATTGAGGTTTGAAGTGAGATGGATGATTTTCGCAAGAGAAGACAATTTACCCTTTGAAACGAACGACTTGAGCGGGGTGGGAGTGGTCTATATTCATAATTAAGCAAGCAGATATTTGTCTCAGTATGAGTAAATGAAAAGTTATTGCTGAAATCCTCTAGTTTTGGATTCGATCTTCGGAGACATAACTATTCAGCCCATTGTATTCGCACTCGATTTCCGGTATGTTTGAAGAAAGTCCGGAAATGAACACGTTTCATCTTAAGTGAGGAAATATATAGGGCAGTATAGAACATCAAAAAATTAGTCGTGTTTTCTGGAATTGCAATGGTTTTCGCTTCGTAGAATCACTCAAATCGCTTGTTATACTCGCAACAAGGATATCGCTCGTTCTCTGTGAATCAATTTCACATCGTTCTCAACACATAATTCTTTCCTATCATTTCAACTAAGCAGATATTTCAAATCATGTTCCAAAGAAATATTCGTGTTCTTCCACTCGTTACAAGCACCATTTTTTTGCATCATTCATCTGAAGAAACTGTCGACGAATGTAAATTTCAGTGTGAATTGAATAATTTAATCAACACTTCTGCCTAGAGCATCGTCTTTCTACTGA